ACTAAATATTTGTATCTATGAAAGAATTTAGAAAAGGTTTTAATTAATTTTTGGTAACGAAATCCCTGACTTAATAATCTATTAGTTATACATGAATTACGTTCATTGAAATCTAAAACATGACTACATACATGTACAAAGTGAACATATTGTAAAATATACACACCGTAAGAAGGGGCAAAAGGAAAACCACCATCTAAAGGCGAAATTAACAATTGGGAAAGAAGAAAAATCGTCTCTTTTGTCGTAAATTTTTGTATAGAGTTTACCGTGTTGAACTGAAATATCCGAATCTAGATAAAGAAAAATATTGTTGTATGTATTAGATTTATTAAAACTAATTACCTTTCGGTGAATTCGATCAGTAAAATTCGAAAATTATGGATTATATAAAGCGAAAATATCACCAATATGCGTTGCGGAACATATTGACTATATACCTTTTGTTTCTCTCTTAATAAGCTTTCGAATGAGGTATAAGGTATATCTATAATTAGGGGCTAAAGGGTCGCAGCAGTCCATTCCATTATTCAAAATATCCATTTCATTATTCAAAATTGGCTATTTCTTAATTTTCACGTGTATTTTGGCATTTAGGTCCTCCGTAACCCCTCTAATGGTCATTGCGGCACATATCGTTTATACTCAATTTATTCCTCTATCAATAAGCTTTAATTTGGTGTATAAATTTTTCCTTGATTAGGGACTGAAGGGTTGCAGCAGTCCATTTCATTATTCAAAATAAGCTATTTCTTAATGTTCACGCGTATTTCGATATTTAGGTCCTTCGTTTCTCCTCTAATATGCGTTGCGGAACATATTGACTATATACCTTTTGTTTCTCTCTTAATAAGCTTTCGAATGAGGTATAAGGTATATCTATAATTAGGGGCTAAAGGGTCGCAGCAGTCCATTCCATTATTCAAAATATCCATTTCATTATTCAAAATTGGCTATTTCTTAATTTTCACGCGTATTTTGGCATTTAGGTCCTCCGTAACCCCTCTAATGGTCATTGCGGCATATATCGTTTATACTCAATTTATTCCTCTATCAATAAGGTTTAATTTGGTGTATACATTTTTCCTTGATTAGGGACTGACGGGTTGCAGCAGTCCATTCCATTATTCAAAATAAGCTATTTCTTAATGTTCACGCGTATTTCGATATTTAGGTCCTTCGTTACTCCTCTAATATGCGTTGCGGAACATATTGACTATATACCTTTTGTTTCTCTCTTAATAAGCTTTTAAATGAGGTATAAGGTATATCTATAATTAGGGGCTAAAGGGTCGCAGCAGTCCATTCCATTATTCAAAATATCCATTTCATTATTCAAAATTGGCTATTTCTTAATTTTCACGTGTATTTTGGCATTTAGGTCCTCCGTAACCCCTCTAATGGTCATTGCGGCACATATCGTTTATACTCAATTTATTCCTCTATCAATAAGTTTTAATTTGGTGTATAAATTTTTCCTTGATTAGGGACTAACGGGTTGCAGCAGTCCATTCCATTATTCAAAATAAGCTATTTCTTAATGTTCACGCATATTTCGATATTTAGGTCCTTCGTTACTCCTCTAATATGCGTTGCGGAACATATTGACTATATACCTTTTGTTTCTCTCTTAATAAGCTTTCGAATGAGGTATAAGGTATATCTATAATTAGGGGTAAAGGGTCGGAGCAGTCCATTCCATTATTCAAAATATCCATTTCATTATTCAAAATTGGCTATTTCTTAATTTTCACGTGTATTTTGGCATTTAGGTTCTCTGTAACTCCTCTAATGGTCATTGCGGCACATATCGTTTATACTCAATTTATTCCTCTATCAATAAGCTTTAATTTGGTGTATACATTTTTCCTTGATTAGGGACTGACGGGTTGCAGCAGTCCATTCCATTATTCAAAATAAGCTATTTCTTAATGTTCACGCGTATATCGATATTTAGGTCCTTCGTTACTCCTCTAATATGCGTTGCGGAACATATTGACTATATGCCTTATGTTTCTCTCTTAATAAGCTTTCGAATGAGGTATAAGGTCGCGGCAGTCCATTCCATTATTCAAAATATCCATTTCATTATTCAAAATTGTCTATTTCTTAATTTTCACGCGTATTTTGGCATTTAGGTCCTCCGTTACCCCTCTAATGGTCATTGCTGAACAATCGACCTGTTATATCTATATGTAGAGGATGAAGAATAGCAAAGTTCCAGTGAAAATAAAAAAAGACCACATAGAGTATTTTAATTTATATATATATGTTTTGGTATTCAGGTCGTCCATACATTGAACCAAGGAATTTCTGTATAAATTAGTTAGGAAAACCCACTAGTTTATCCTCCGAAACTAGGAACCAGATAAATAAATCAAATCAAAATTTAAAGAGTGTTTTTATTTATTTTTTCTGATATCAATTTGAATATTTGTTAGATAACACCAAAAAGACTAATGTATAAATACGGGATATAGCTATAGTGTCACAGTCAATTTTTTTATTTTTATTTCACTATTAACCGCTTCAACTTGAATAATGAAACATAAACTATTTTATTATTCATTTTTCTTCACTTAACATTGAATAGTGAATAGTGAACTATTTCATTATTCATTATTGAATTTTGAATAATGAAAAATGAATAATGAACGTACTTCAGCGCTGTGAGCATTGTTTTTCTACGCTATACATAACATTGCTGTATGGAATCTACTAGGTAGCAGAGTAGCCAATGTCAGAGTGTTAAAAAGCAGGAATTCTATATCACCAGTTTGGGCACTTTCTTAATAGCATATTTTGTATACCAATGGTTTTATTGCTTGTAATAACGATATCAATCGAATTTTATTGTACGTTCTTCGTGTGAGGTTGTCTATTTTTATAGTTTAGAGTTTGTCCTCTTAAGATTTGATGATGGATCCTTGGGAGTCGTCATTGGACTTATTGGCAATTATTGTTATCTACACTTACACTGTAGACATGCATGTGGTATAGACTCTTGTCTTTTGTTGAAGACCGTATGTTGACTTATATGTGAGATTTAGTTTGTTTGATTTTTTTGTTGGTATTCAGTCTCACTGAAATATTTCCATGTATACCCTAGCTCTTGTTTGGGAGGAATTATGTGTTAGATGGCAACAACGCTATACCCCGTGCAAAAAAAGTTTCATATCATTTTAATCAAATATCACCCCCCCCCTCCCCCCCCCAAAAAAAAAAAAGATAAATCTAAAAATTATTTGACGCATTATAATTTATATCCATCTATTCATTCAAATACGTTTACTTCTAAAGGAATTCGGTGTCTTAAAACACCACTTGGGCCAACAGACACTTCTCCATTATAGGTTCATACAAATGTAAATCAACGAACCGAGTCCGCAATAAACGGAAACACAATTAAAAACAAAAACAATAAATTGCTTCGCTGAGCGCAGCTGGATACGACCGCAGAGGTCCAACCCTTAACAGTTGGGGCAAAAATGGACACACTATTCGCGCTTGATACAGTCTGAATTTGGATTGTAATTAAATATTTGACACATTATAGGTTTCTGACACAGAATAACTGTAGTCAAAGGACTTAGAATTGGTTATATGATTTGAGTTTATATTCAATGTTTTGCTTTTGTGTAATACACTATGCTGTTACTAATTGACCCCTCCCCCCAAAAAAAAAAATTACCCCCCTTTTTTTTTACTTTTGTGCAATACACTATGCTGTTGCGAATTGACCCCCCCCCCCCAAAAAAAATTTGTTTACCCCCTCCCCCTTTTTGCAAAAAAATAATATTTGAAGAAATTTTCTTTTTAATTTCTGAAATCTGAAAAGAGAAAAAAATTGTCCCCCCCACAATTTTTTTTCACCTGCCCCCCCCCCCCCCCCCCCTCCCTTTTTAAAAAAAAATCTTTCCCCCAAGGTATGGTCATAATCTCAATTCAAATTTTCAATGGAGTTTGCAACCATAATTACCCATTTAAATACATCATAAAAGTCTTAAAATAGAAAATGACATACATAATCATGGCTAAAATTAATATTCCTTAATCAGCATTTTTAATAGTAACTTCTAAAAATAAATTGACAGCTAATCACCTCAAGACAATACACTATTTCTTTATACATAATTTAAAAGCAGTGTAAGGGAGGTAATCCAAACATAACATTGTACTTTTAAGTAATTGCCCATTAACCAGGAAACTCTGGTTTTTCACCCTTTTTTGCCCCTTATTCCTACACGGTTTGAGCCATAACCCCCCAAAGCCAATCCTAACCATCCCTTTGTGGTATGGAAACGTGTGGTCTAATTTCAGAGAGATCTATACACCTTTACGCAAGTTATTGTCTGGAAACTAGAAAAATGTTTATTGGGCCCCTTTTGGGCCCCTAATTCCTAAACTGTTAGGACCATAACCCCCAAAATCAATCCCATCCTTCCGTTTGTGGTAATAAACCTTGTCTTTGAATTTCATAGATTTCTATTTACATATACCAAAGTTATTGTCCGGAAACCAAATGTCTTCGGACGACGCATACGACGACGACGACGTGATACCAATATACGATCGTATAAAAACTAGTATCACATCAAATGAATGATGAAGACGAGACAAGTAGGCTTGCGTGTTAATAATGTGATGTCGTAAGAGGTGTCTTCTTTTTAAATAAAAAACAAACTTTAAAAAACTTTTTCAATAAAAATAAATATCTTTTATTATTGTTATATACCTGGACGAAAAAAACATGTTATTCATTTAAATGATAGTTTAAACACATCTAAATTCTTCCTTTCAGTTAAATCATATATAAATCTCTTTTGGTAGATTTCATTATCTTAAATTTTGGCAAAAAGTGTTTGTTCACTCAAATGTACCTGCACAAAAGAACAGGAAAATTAGTTATTGTTATGTGTTAAATCTTACACGTATCGCATTATTACACTTATTTTAAGAAAGTTCCACATATTTGTTCCTCTTATAAACTTCCTTATTAACCTGGTATCAAGTTGGTGGGAGTAAATATGAAGGTATTTTTTTAGTGAAATAACATTTAAAAAAATAACTCTACATGCGTTCAACATTCACCAAATTTAGCTGACAATATCTAGAGTATCCGAAGGTTCATCGTGAGAGACGAGGGGTAAAATGAAGCCTTAAATGTTAAACATACCCGTGGGTTAGTCGTGAGAGAAAAGGGAATACAGAGGTTTAGTTTTGAGACAAACGTGAGTAAAATGAAGCCTTGTGTGTTAAACGTACCCGGGGGTTAGACGTTAGAGAAACGTGAGTAAAATGAAGCCTTGTGTGTTAAAAGAACCCGGTGGTTAGTCGTGAGTAAAACAAAGCCTTATATATATATATATATATATATTAAACGAAGCCGTGGGTTAGTCGTGCACACTGATTTGCGTACCAGTTCATTTTGGGGTCCTCTTCGCGGTCCGCGTTTAAACTATGTCGATTTCTTTGAAAAATTAGAGACAATGATTTAGATTTTAATAACTAAAGTTTCAAGTGTTGGGTGTAAATTTCAGGATAAAAACAATATATGTATAAACCGAAATGGTACAAGCACACCAAAAAATTGAATAATGCTATATATATTACAAAATACTTTAGCTCAAACATTTTTTATTTATAAACATATGGCCTTATTGTGATAAATACGAGGACCGACATCCATTTATTAGGTAAACAGCTATGATCATGAAAAACATATTTTTATATAAATGTTTTCAATATATTTGGTTATAAATTATTGATTCCTGTAGCACGGGACTTGACATACCATTGGCCAATTAATATAATATAACATTGTGCGTTCTTATTTTTCAGTACACATATCTCTTTGCGATTGTTCATCTCGTGATATCACGGTCTACAAATGACGTACACACGAATTTAGATAAAATGAATGATGTTTGTGAGTTCACAGTCAGTAAATCGTCAAAGGAAAACTTCAAAACGGAATGGATCAATTCTGATAGTTTGATTGCAAAATTTACATTTGAAATATATGATCGAAATATGAAACCAATGAAATATTCTAAATCAAATGAGACCTTCTTGCCATTAGAATGGAGTGTGACTCTTGGTCATGAAGCAAAAGGAAATTTATATACGTCATGGATGATAGACAACTGGCTTTACTCATTTGGTCTTTTAGACGCAAGAACTTTAACGGATATTACAATACAGCTTTTAAGTACTTCGCCGTCATGTCAGATCAAATTTGGGGAGAATGAAACAGTTCAAAGTATAACAACAGCTTTACATACCCTGTCTGTAAAAACCTGGCGAGAACATGACAAAAAAATGAAAAATATAAGGACTTATTGGTGTTTCTATAGTGCGTACCCTCGCATAACAGATTCTGCCTGGTATACAGCAAAAATTTATTTTGGTTTTGCAATCAGAATGTTTGGATATAGATGTTGTTACAAGACCAGAACAGAGCTTTTTGAATGCACCGACGAAAACGATAGTCGATTAAACCAATATCAGCTGATGCCATATTACGTTGGAATGGTCTTTTTCTGCTTTTTCCCTATTATGTTGATGAAATGCAGTGCTCGCTCTATGAAATCTGGAAGCAAGATCAGAACTGCAAAGCAAAAATCCTACCAGAGTTTTGATTTCGACGACAAATATATATATTTACAAAAAAGAAGCCCCGTTTCTGTGGCTAGTTTATTCCTTGGTATTTGTGGATTGGGCTTTAAACATCCAGTTGCTGCTACCAGGATACGACGAATTGTTTTTGTACTAGGACTACCATTATTTGTTTATTTGGAAATTCTTATGTATTATATCGGATGGCCTGAACTTGCACCGGCTTTGGTGAAAAATAAAATACCATTCGGCTTTTCATCAATTCTAGGTGGTTTGAGTGAAAGCCGATCTTTATTTCTACCGATGTTTGGAGGCCCTTTTATAGCTCTGTTTCTGTATTTTGTAGCTGGTATTGTTCTTTTAGTAATACCCGTTGACCATGGGTCACATATTGAAATGGGTCTCCCATCAGATAACGGAGAATATTCGTCTCTGCTGTCAATGAATGTTGCAACAATCGAAAAGTTATCTTCAAAGTGTTGTCTCAATCGTACAGGTTATCATAAAATTTATTGTGTCCTACGATCTAATGTTTTCATGCTTATTAATCCCAAATTTTGGAGTTTCGTTATCGGTTATCAAATTATGCGTTATCAAAGAAGTTTGAGCTTTTTTAATGATCAATGTAACTTTCCTATAGTAGTATTGCCAATTTGTATATTTCTATTGCCATTGTACATACTATTGTGCTTTATTGAGTTGTGCCTAGTTATAATATACTATGGGTTACCTATGATTTCATTCCTATTTATATGTGTCAGAGGTTATACATTGAGTCTGCATCGCTATTTCACACAGAAACATTGTGTTTTAACAGCCATATTCATGTTTATCACAACTATACTATATTTGTATTTTCTTTTTATGTGTTGTATTATAATACTGGCATCTTTCACATTTTTGACATGTATTGTATTTTTTGTATATCTTTCGGTTGTGATATTTCCTAATTATTCTTTCACGTTTGTTTATTCATTTTTCATGCTTTTGTTCTTTGTATATCGGATTGGTTCTGAAATAGAACACGACTACTTTGAATTGCTTCTTAAAACAATTAAAGCTGTCAAATACATCGGTGAAACACGAGAGGATGTAAATTATGTTGTGACCGAACCTGGAACTGAATTAGTTAATATTGAGATGCTTTCTACGGACAATGAGGGACGTAGAGTCCGTGAGAGAAGACAGTTACCAGGCATACCCAAAAAACTGTTTGAATTTGTCACTCGGAAGCATCGCCCTTTACACATTTGCATATTCTTGTCAGTTCTGCAGATAGCTTTGATGTCATTTCTCATCTCGGCATCAATCGTTTTTGTTTCACAGTACGTCAGACCGATGCGGACGGATGAATCTAGTGAAATACTGCATGTCTTAAGCGTTTTGCTGATAACTATTCTACCAAATCTGATTCACAGCTTTTTCACAGAGAAGATCAATCCAAAGGTTAGAAAACTGAAAATAAGACAGACCGTTATTGAATTCTATCAATTAGAATTATAAACTAATAGTGGACCACTGACCTTCGTATTTGTTCCACTCAGTCATTTTCGTAAGAGACATTGGTTCTTAACTTTTTTATTGACCGGCATAAAACAAAAATATCGAGAAAAAAACAAAGACTATGCATAGGAGCCGAACACAACTGTTGGTGACATATTCAAACTCTAAATGATCTATGATAATTTATTATTAGAAGAACACATTGAACGAACATTAATTTCATTGCTACAGTATCAAAATATTCAAATACATAAATTTACTTCTGAATTGTTTGTTTATTAAAATGTCCTGAAAGTAACATTCGTTTATGACAACAGATAAATCTTTTCTATATATCTATCGAAACGGCTGTTTTATGCTATAATTATTCTGCTGAAAACATAATGTTGCCGGTATGTCACAGGACACATATGAAACTGTGATACTCTTAATTCTTGCAAATTCTATTAAGATGTTTTTAATGACCCTGCTGGTGAAATAAATATATGACAAATTGTCCATTCTCTTTCAGAAACATAAATTTATTAAAGTCATGCAAAAGTTGTTTACCAATACTCGAAAGTTCGTAAATTGTTTTAGAATATACAATAAGAAAACTTGAGTAAGACCGTGTGCGTCGACCGGGTAAACGTTTTCTGTTATGAAAAGCATTACCCGTCATTTGAATAATAACTTCTCTTGTGTGTGCCACCATTCTCTGAATTTTAGGCCAGTTTGTACTAAGATATTCTTGGCCCTCATTCCTATCCACATTAATTTTTTTCACTTTCAAAAATTATGGGGGCGGGATCAATATACCGTTATTTTCCCATCAGACCGTACTGGTTACCAGAACTTTGGAAACACCAAGCAAAGTACTTCATATCTGAGAAACAGGCAATATATGCCCTCAATTTTAGAATGCATTCATACATTTTTGTAATATTCAAAATTATCAATCAATATGTGTTCTACAAGGATCACAAGTCCTTTACCTTTCATTTGATACCTTAATTACTAAAATATATTCTACATAGTTTGATATTTACACATATCCGTAGGAACTTTTTTGTTTTAAATATGTACTACTTGTCAGATTTGGTAGTGTTACATCGAATCATTTTGCAAAGAATTCCGCTCAAACCGGTGCTAGGGGCCGTCTTAAACCTGCAGTGAGATGAGATTTTTTTGCTCCGTGTTGAAGGTGCCACTGTGACTTTGAGATGTAAAACAGCCACAAAAGCGCTGTTCCTTTTTTCATTATTTTGTGTCTTGGATGGATACTCCATATCCTTTGTTTTTCTATGAAATCAAAAATGTCACGATAAGGAACTGTTTGACTCTTTTTTTCACTACAAACCTTAAAAAACGACAAGACCAATGGCGCCCCATTGATAGCAGACTAGTTGTGGTACTGTTATAAATCACAGTTTATGGCCAAACTCAGTGAAGACCCGCGTAAGTTGCCTTTACCTGATAAATTCAACAACACTTATCGTTAACTTGATATTTTTTTCGTTAAATAATCAAGAATTTTCTAAATATACTTGCGAAATTTACCTAAAGGAACTTACTTTAATTAAATCAAATATAAACGGTAATAACTATCCTTTCCTAGATTTAGATATTTCAGTATTAAACGGGAAACTCTACATAGAAATTTACGACAATAGGGACGAATTTTTGTTCCTTATTGTTAGTTTTCCTTTTTTGGACGGTGATGTTCCTTTGGCACAATCTTACGGTGTTTATATTTCACAACTTGCTCGCTATGCCCGTGTCTGTAGTGACGTTTTGGATTTTAATAAACGTAATCTATTTATTACTGGTAAATTATTGAGTCAAGGATTTCGTTACCACAAATTAATTAAAACTTTTACTAAATTATTCCATAGACACAATTATTTGGTTTGCAAGTTTGGCTGTATTTGTAAAAGACTTATTACAAACCGATAGCACATTCTAATTTTTACTGTGATGTTGTTTACCGAACCGGTAAATTTAGATACGATCCGGGTTAACGTATCGATCTTTTAAATAAACTTATCCTAAAAGGTTAACAAGTCAACACTGTAATCAGATCTTTGAATTTTGTTTTATCGGTATGAATATTGATTCAGTAAATTGAAACAAAAAATAGTTTTATTGTTATACACATATGTACATTCACAGTTCTACAATCTGTCATTTAGTATATCTTGTCATTGCACAAGGTCATGTTTTACTCTGACTGTTAATGACGTCTTTACACTAAATCCATTGGATGTTGGATGTGTACTGGTTGATATATAAGTCTTAGAAACATGATTTTTTATTAGTTGTTATAGGATTTGAACTAGCATTCAGTTAACTGCGAGTACTCTCAGAAATGTACTTTGTGTCTTTTGTTTTTGTGTTTTGTTTTTATGTGCTTTGTATCGATCTGACGAGTTAAGCCCATTTCAACTGATTTTAATAGTATGTTCTTATGTCGTTCTTTTACACCACCGTCCAAAGATAGAAAGGTTGCGCAAGGAAACATATTTAACCCCGCTACATTATGTATGTGCCTGTCAAAAGTCAGAAGTCTGTAATTCAGTGGTTGTCGTTTGTTGATGAATATCATATATTATTTTTAATTCATTGTTTTGTACATAAATCAGGACGTTAGTTTTCTTGTTGAATTGTTTTACATTTGTCATTTCCGGGGGCCTTTTATAGCTTACTATGCGGTATGGGTTTTGTACAATATTGAAGACCGTACGGTGACATATAGTTGTTAACTTCTATGTCATTTGGTCTCTGGTGGAGAGTTGACTCATTGGCAATCATACCACATCATCTTATTTTTATGAGAACATGCCATTGGTCTTTACCTAGCGATATCGCTAACAGTTTTAAGCATTTTAGCACTGCTTTATGATATTATTGCGCTAAAACGCTCGTTGAATATTGCATGCTAGCCTTTGGTAGGCATGAAATATAGCATTGCTATACGAAAAATATAATCGTTCTGTCAGGCAAAATCTTTATATGTAATAGAGGACAATTTCAAAAGAAAACACAAGACTCGGCAACACACGAACTCGTACAACCCAGATTGATTTCACGTTCTCCTGAAAACTTGCTCCGATAGTGATACTTGTTCATCACCACGTTAAAATCCGATAAATTGTAGTGAGCGATAAGGTCTCATGCTATAGCGGATTTATAGATACTCCTTGTCTATCACTAAAACATATAAAAATCCATAAAAAATCCTTTGACCTTCGCAGGAAATTATATTCGTTCTATAATATCTGTACACTAGTAATATCTGTGCATAATATTGAATTAATGCGTGTTAGTTTTGAATGCCAAATGTCCGTTGGTCTGAATTAAAGGGTTATCGGATAAAAACAAGGACATCAACAGCAACGGTCGCCAATTGCTTATATGGATTTAGTAAGCTTTAAGTTTCAGACCACAATATCAAAATCCATATCTTTTCAACAAAATTTAGCAATTTTCACAGCTTTCTAAATATTTTACCTTAAGTTTTACTTCATAGAAACCAGGTATATCCTGAATTGTACATGTATCACCTTTCTACATGCCAATTTTCAACCAATGTTTAAAGTCTTGTAATAAAAAACTACCGTCCGGAAGTCAAGTACTACTAAAAATAATCCCTGGTTTTCTGGAAATCTTAAATAAGTAAACTATGGAGCGCATTAGTCCTCAATTTTTAATGCAAACTCGTGGACAAGTAAATTTTTGCTCAAAGTGGTCTTCGTATATTTCTCTTTCACCAAAAGTTTCATTTCTGCAAATTTGTATGTTAGTTTAAGTAACCAATGACATCAAAACACTATTTTTATCAGGGAAGGGCTACTTTTACCTACGTTCTAAATTGAAGTGGGTGAACTGGTGGTCTGACACCTTTATAATTTCAGCGCAAATGTTTTTAAACATGGCAGCAGATTATTTTACAAAGTACGACCAAACATGATAAAATATGAGAAGATGCGGTATGATTTCATTGAAACATTACAACTATATGTCATCGTACGTCCTTTAATAATTAGCGAAACCCATTCCGTGTTGTAAGCTTTAAAGAGCCATGGTATGCTACAATGTAAAACAGTTCAAAAGTAAAAATTTACGAGCTAATTTATGCTAAGACATTAGACGAATAACAAATGTTCAAAACACCTTGGAAAAGAATATGGCCGTTTCAAAAAAAATTTGTCAAGATAAAGGATGCAAACTAGAAGGGATACTACAGGTATGACTGTAAATATACACGGCTCAGTCATTATCGCTGTCTTAGTCAATACCACTGTCCTTTGGGCAGTCCATATATCACGATAATGACCAGTTTTTCAATAACTATTATGTAAATACAGTTTATATTATACATAGGTTTTACATGACACCATATCATAGAGCAACAATACACAGTACTAGGAGTTTAAAATATAATTTACGATCTGAAATAAGGAGATGTGGTATCATTGCCAATAAGACAACTATCTAACAGAGACCAAATGAAGAAGATGTAAGCAACTATAGGTCACCAGACAATGATTAAAACCTATACCGCATATGAGGAAGCTATAATAGACCCCAATATGACAAAATGTAAAACAAGTTAAATTTCTGATCACAGATTTGAAAGATTTGTTATATCTTTTCCTCGCTCATTTCCAAGGTAAGGATGAACTTGCGTTATTATCGTTTATGATTATATTGTAGATGTTTATTCGAGTGAAACATCTGTTGTGGACTTTATAAAGCTTATTTAATCTTAAACCAGTGCCAAAGTGCACAATCTAATGGCATCGTTAAAATTTCAACTTTAATTCCAAACGTCGTGTACTCCATAAGAATGTCGATAGCTTCGGACACCAATTTCAAATTGTTCTTCCTGTTACTAGTATTGCATACTCTAAGATAAACAAGAGCGTATTCTTTGAAATCTGATTTTCCGATAATGATTGAATGGGTTCAAGGTTAGACCAACCCTGCCAGACCGACATATAAAAATAAGAAGATGTGGTATGATTGCCAATGAGACAACTCTCTACCAGCGACATGTATTCTTAACAATTATTTTTACATCAAATTTAGTTGCCCATTTGCTATAGTATCTGAGAAACCAATCTTACCAGGAAAACTTGAAAGTTGGCCAATTTACCACGCAAATGTTGTCAAAGTCAGATGAATCTCGCCAGACTATACACCTTACAATCATTCATTAGACCAAATATAATAGTTGACCTTATACATGTATAAGTAGCATCTGAGAAACAAACTAACGATGAAACTTTAATATTAATAAAGAGGTCATGTTCAGAT